GATAATAAACTGGTCTGTCTAGAAAGTTTGGAGACCCCTGTCTTAGACCATAGAGATGGCCAGGGACCGGTGGTACCGCCGGCTTCGGCTTCAGTTCTGGGTGTCTCACCAGAGGGTGGCGAAAGACTACCCCTCTCACCACACGTAAAAGCAATCCAGCGGCTAATTAGCCACTAGGATTGCTTTTACTGTGTAGAGCTTTGCCAAGAGAAAAAAAACGATACCGAGGTTATGGCTGACAGCTGCAGCCATTACCTCGGTATAACCACTTGAAGTCAGTCATGTACATGTACGTGATTTGGTGGCAAACGGCTATGACAAGTTTTCTAGAACCCTCATTCACACAGGCCGCCTGCATTTGTTTTACTTAAACACAGGAGAAAATGATCTGGGAAGAACAAAATGTGCATGCGTTTACATGCATTTAGGCACATTCATAGTATCTGATCTGCTTTGTATATTGTTAGGATTTGGAATTGTATTTGCTGGGCGAGTGGAAGTTGGGCTTTAGCCCACACTACTGCATAAAACTGATCTTGTATGAGTTTTTCGAAACAGTACATTGCAGCGTAATCTGGTGAACCGATTCCAATGGAATTAATACAGTGCCTTGAAAAAGTATTCATACCCCTTGAAATTTTCCACATTTTGTCATGTTACAACCAAAAACGTAAATGTATTTTATTGGGATTTTATCCCTGACCTGTCTGGGGTGTTCCTTGGCTGTTTGTTCACTAATGTTCTCTAACAAACCTCTGAGGGCTTCACAGAACAGCTGAATTTATACTGGGATTAAATTACACACAGGTGGACTCTATTTACTAATTAGGTGACTTCTGAAGGCAATTGGTTCCACTATATTTTAGTTAGGGGTATCAGAGTAAAGAGGACTGAATACAAATACACACCACACTTTTCACAGATTTCTTTGTAAAAAATGTTGAAAACCATTTATCATTTTCCTTCCACTTCACAATTATGTGCCACTTTGTGTTGGTCTATCACATCAAATCCCAATAAAACACAATTACGTTTTTGGTTGTAACATGACAAAATGTGGAACATTTCAAAGGGTATGAATACTTTTTCAAGGCAGTGTATTTTCACAGGAACTGCATATTACAGGGTGACCAGGCCCACACGCAGCCCTACCTACAGATCTGTTGATGTAGAAGCCGCTCTGCAGATCATCCATAATCCCTTCCCCGATCCCGCAGGACAGCTGTGACTGGAGACGACGTTCCTCCGACAGCAGATCTGAATCATATAAAGTATGTCCCTTAATTCCATTTGTGCGACACAAGCAGAAAACAAAGCTCCATGTCAGGGGGGGAAGCAGTAAGCTCTCCTCGCCATTATTTACCGTTGTGTGCGCAGAGAGATGGTGCCAGAAATATTGATCGCTGTGCTGCTGAATAATAAATTGCGCTGAGGACCAGGAAAGCATTGATTACTGGTTATTTAGGGAGAGTCATTTTCGTTCGTTAGCAATCCTAGGAAGAAGAAAATACAGATGCTGCTCCGCATTGCTGCTGGCTAATCTACATTAGGCGGATCGATATTTTATCATCAATATCTTACACATGTAGAAAATAACTGTATTATTGGTCTAACAAGGTTAGAATGCCCAGTGACAAATAACATGGTGCCGGTCCTTTCCTGTATAATGCTTTGCAATATAGATCACATTACATCTCCACCTGGCTGTGCAAAATCTAGAAAACTCTATTTGCACGTGCTCTAAAAAAAAAATCTCTAAACCATGGAATCTTTCATCAACCTCTGCATACCAGCTGAAATTTAAAATCAGGCTGAGAGCAAAGGCGGCTTTGCCCCTATGTGCATTCTGTAATGCATGTTTATGATGAGCATTACTGCACATGTGCTTACATGGTAACATGTATGTTTGCACCCTTTTAACATACATGTATGTGCATTTTAAATATATGTAGATTTACACTTTTTCTCCCTTATTATACAAAGTGTGGTGAGTACACTGAAGAGTATAGATTTTCCATGTAGCAGATGCAATAAAACTGCACACAAATACATCTGGTGTTCTATATTTAACAATCACTTCAACTGACTTGTTTTTGATCTGCAAAAATAACCCCAAACTCTCGATTCCATCTAATCTGCTTTTGTCTGTGGCTGTTTAGGAAATCTGCCCTCACCAACCAGTTTTGGCGTATACTCTCAAAGTAATATTAAACTTCCAGCGTTTTTTAGCATAACGCATTGAGCACTATAAAATAAACTTTCCCATCTTACCCCAGCACTTGCAGATTACAACTCTGAATGCTGCTGGTTCCTGCTCTCTCAGTGCTGCTCCCCTGAACCAGTCTTCGCAGGAAAAAGTTAACAGTGGACAGTGTAGTTTCAGCCAGTCTGATAGTCTGGAAAAGGGGAGAGGGGAGGAAGGAGGAGCAAGGGTTTGCCTTACCATCCTAGGCTATGGGGCTGAGTGATTCTATTGATGGGAGACAATTCTAGTAAATACAACTAGGGTGCCTCCATATGATCCTGCAAGTGAAAGGAGCCACCCTGAAACAGGATACTGGGGTAGCCTTTATGGCACCAGCTTAAACTGGAACATAGGCAAGGATTAAAGAGAAAGAAGCTGCTAGTGCACTATGCCACCACACACTTGGTAAACTACCTACCTCCAACCGCTGCGTGGCCACTTTTTGGTTTAATCAGTTGCCAATTGTGCAACTAATGTGATTTGCAGGGGGCGTGTGCCCACCGACCCGGCTGCGTTGTCACTGGCTCCAGCATATGCCAATCACCAGGTCCCAGCCAATGATTTATGGCTGGGACTCGCCAATTGGTGGAGTGAGTAACAGGAGAGAGTTCTGTGTTGGTAAACACAGTGGCAATGTGCCGGTTTTTGTCTTCCTGCAAAGCAAGGAATAAAAACCAGCACATCCCTTAGAAAAAGCACCACACAGTATACACATCACACATTATTAAGCACACAGTTAACCCTATTAATCACTGGTAATGTCAGTGTCAGTCAGTTCCTACAAAATGTCAGTTAGTATCAGATTGCCCACCTTACTATCACAGTCCCACTATAAGTCACTAATCACTGCCATTACTAGTATAAAAACAAAAAATAAAGAATTCTAGTATATATCCCATAGTTTATAGGCTCTATACCTTTCACACAAACCAATTAATATATGCTTATTGTTTTTTTTTTAACCAAATACAGGTTTCAGAATACATTTTGGCCTAAATTTATAGAAAAAAGTTAGATTTTTAATTTTTTTTTATGTTTTTTTTTAGCAGAAAGTACATTTTCCCCCAAAATATTTAGTCTTTTCTTCGTTTTATATAATAAAAAAATTAAAAAACTCAATGGTGATCAAATACCACCAAAAGAAAGCTCTATTTGTATGATAAGAATTACATAAATGTCATTTGGGTACGGTGTTGCCGCGCAATTGTCAGTTATAGTAGCACAATGCTGAATAGAAAAAAAAAGGCCTGGTCACAAAGGGGGTAAAATCTTCCCATGGTCAAATGGTTATTTAATATGGCAGGTATCAAGATTTTGAGAGGCTGTATACAACTTCTTATTGTTATATCCCTTGTGGCATGGAAAGCCATTCTGCATCAGTGCAAAGAGGGGGTGCAGCGCTAATAAACTCAACGATGTCAAAAGTCAATAAAATGTATATATAAAGTGACAAGGTGCAAATACATAGGCCACTAAATAGTGGTCAAGGTGCTAAAGGGTGTTGACTCAATATAAAGTCCAAAGAGAAGAAGTGTTGATGAGATCTCAAATGATCTCAGGATGTCCAGTGATGCGGACCATGGATCTGGTGATAAATAATAATGAGATTGCGCACTCACCAGATACGCAATTCATACGCGCATAAATAGTAGTAATCCTCTAGTCATCCAGATATCATCAAAATAGGTCTGGTCAGATCTGGCCAGGTTAATCCTCACTCCCTGGCGGTGTTATCACTCATGGGGGGGTCATCATGCAATGGATACAGCCTGCTCACATGGGGGTCTCCTCACAAGGGATGCAGCTGGTTCTGCGAACGTGATCGGCTCCCAAAGGAGCTGCTCGCGCCCACACTCTGAGCAGCAGAGTGTGGGCGCTCAGAGTGTGGTTTATGGGTACCTTTTTTGGTGCACAGCCGCTTATGTATTTGGGATTGTTTTAGCGCTCGCTTACTCCTTCTGCATTCTGCATCAGTGGATTTACCAGGAACCCCTCACCACTTCATTGCTAAATTATCGTATGTTTTCCATATGAAATTAGTGGAGGCCTTGTCACTGGCGTTACTACCCTGTGGGGAGAATAACATTTGCCCCTTAATGTTGCAACAACATATTGATGGGCGGGATTACCACACGATTGGCGGTGAAGCGTGGGGTTCAAATAGCCCTCACCACTTTCATGCCTAACAACGCATGCATTGACGGTCAATACAGAGAGGGTGAACGCCATTTGAATCACATTTGGAGGCTATGGAGGAGGCTGGAGCAGTTGCTTTATGATCACTCTTGAGCTGATTTCGACCATTCTATAACATGATGGTCAAATACATCTGGAAAGCCTTCTTTGGGCATAGAGTGGGGTGATACGTATTTCACATGAATAACATTTGATCAAACAGCAATTGAAGATGCACATTTATATTCTCTGATATTTTCCATTCTCTTTGGAATCGGGACATATTTTTTCACTTTTATATTATTTTCCATATTGTATTGGGATTTGTGTCACATCTAACTTCACGATGTTTAGTTAGGAAAGCATTACTATTGTTTATTCACATTTTTTAGTACTAGACCTTAAAGTGTTAGTAAACCCAGGATCCTGCATTCACTATATGTGGTCTCCCACAGTACACACAACATGGAAATGCAATTACTTTAGTAAATATAAACTGTTAAATACCTTTTCTCATCAGCAGTTATAGCAGTCTTGTGACTTCTATCAGTGTCCAGCTGAGCACTGGCTAAAGCTTGTAGGAGGAGTTTTCATTTTGCTCTAGGAGGATGCATGACCCCTGACCTCTGTCTGGACAGTGCTGATTGGCCCTGTGCTGATCACATGCACCCTCCCAAGAGAAAAAAAAAAAAAACCTCTCTAGCAATACACACCAAACTGAGCATGTGCAGAGTGACTCCATACGATATGTCTTACCAGGAGATAAGAGGGGGATCAGAGAAGACAGGATCAAACAGCGTTTTTACACAATGCAGAGGATTAACCCCTTAGGTTCCACAGTGAGTATAATCCCTCCTAGATTGTAAACTCCAAGGAGCAGGGCCCTCCTATCCCTCTTGTATTGAACTGTATTGTTGCTGTATTGTCTCCCGTTTTATTGTAAAGCGCTGAGCAAACTGTTGGCGCTATATAAATCCTGTATAATAATAATAATATTATAACAAGCATGCTTTACTGCATATACAGACTGATTTCACTGTTGTGGGTTTAGTAACACTTTAAATACCAGTTATCAGTTTCTGCTTAGCCTTTGATATCAACTATGCTTCAGAAGACCTTAACCTCTTGCCGTCCGCCTGCTGTTTATAAACGGCAGGGCGGTGGCAGTCCAAGGTCGGGTTGCCGTTCCTAAACGGCACCCGCCTTTTCTAGCTGTGCGCGCTCCCTAGGAGCGCGCACCACCGCGATCCGGTGTCCACTGTGTCCTCCGGACACAGTGAAACACCGATCGTCGGACGGGACCTCTGTACGAGGTCCCGGTCATGTGATCACTGATTGGCGAATCAGTGATCACATGCAAAGTAGTGAGCAAGATGTCACTTGTGACATCATTGCTTACTACGTGTGAAATCTGTGAATGATCACAGAGGTCACATGGTACAAGGCTATTCACAACAGCCTTGTACCATGTGACAAGCTGTGACCAATCACAGCTCACTCAGTATTTCTCAATGACTGCAAGAATGCAGACAGAGAGAAAGAGAAATGATTGCTTTTACATCCTATATGGGTGTAAAAGCAATCAGTGTAAAAAAAAAAAAAAAAATCTTCATCACCCCCCACAAGTAGTACAGTGTCACCATGGTGACACTGTACTGCTAGGGTGACAGTATGTAAAAATAAAAAATAAAAATAAAAAAAAAAATAATATAAAAAAAAATAAAATAAAAATGTAAAAAAAAATGTTTAAAAATTTATAATGTTTGGTTATAAACTAATTTGGATTTTTTTTTTTACTAAAAAAATAACGGAATAAATTTTGGCCAAGATTTAGGATGAAATATTATTTATTTGCAAAATTTTATAAAAAAAAAAACACTTTTTTTCAAAATTTTTGGACTTTTTCATTTACATAGTAAAAAAAATAAAAATCCCAGCGGTGAATAAATACCACCAAAATAAAGCTTTATCTGTCTCAAAAAAGTGGTAAAAAATTCATATGGGTACAGTATTGCATGACCGCGCAATTGTCATTCAAAGTGTGATAGCGCTGAAAGCTGAAAATTGCCCTGGACAGGAAGGGGGTAAAAGTGTCCGGACAGGAAGTGGTTAAACATCCATGATATGGCCAGTAGTCTCTATTTCACTTTACACTTCGTTAACACTAAGAACTTCCATCTTTCCTCCGAAAACCTTGTAAAATCTTAGATCTGGTTTTCTCAACTAGGGATCTCCCTGGGGTTCCTTGAGCAGTAACCAATGACATATTAAAGATGATTTTGCAGGTATGGACATTTTTGCATAGTTACTTTGGTTTAGCTTGGAGCAGTGTACGCTTATATGTGCCATACCTGGCTGATCCCCCTGGAAGCTGGAAATCACTGTAGTAGGCAATGTGACTGTAGTGATTGCTGCTAACCTCCGGGTCCTGTGCGGAGAGGCCAACCTGCTGCTTAGTGAGCACAGAAGATGGCTCCCTAGGCATGGGGGCCATTTGGAGAACACTTTCAATGAATGCAAAATGTTTTCTGATTGGACAAGGTAGAAATCATGATGTTGCTAATCAGCCACTCCACCTTGTCCATTCAGAGAACACTTTGCATTTATTAAGAGAACACAAAGTGCTTTCTGAATGGTGCACATGACGGAAGCTGGCGGTAATCAATGTAGTAGCAATGTCCACTACAGTGATTTTCATCTTTCACCTACAGTGACTACCAATGTAAGGGAACAGTTTCCCACTGAAATTCAATATTAGAGGTCACTTCTACACTAATCACCACTGCAAGGGGACTTGTTTTCCCGCTGACCAGTACCATGGAAAGGGGCATCAACGTAAGGGGGCATTTCTCCATTGCACATCAATGTAAGGGGGCACTACATTTTTACACTCTGTCCCTTTTCTGGCCATTATTCATTTGTTTTAAGGGCTATTACGGATGTACAGAACAAGGTATGTTGAAAAATATTGGTTCTGAGTGTCAAATACTATAGATATGCCATTTTTCTTTATTATATTATTTATAACATTTAACATTTTACCGATCATGCTATTTTACCATGCAATGTAGACATAGTAATATTTAGCATGGGAAGGGGGGTTTCCAGAGACTTTACAATTATTGTAAGGGTTCCTTCATAGTAAGGCTTCATTCACACGGGTTCTGAGGCCCATAGTCTGTGAATCGGTCATGTGTTTATGTGATTTAAGCAGCCAGGTGCTGCATGCAGTCCATATACCTGTATGGGGGGGAGCAGTGGCTGCACAGACAAAGCCACTCATCATAATGAGCTGTGGATGAGCAGCCCGAATGCAGATAGTGTGCACTTGGGTCCACTCATGCCTATCAAATCGGGACAAATTGCTGTGTCTGCGCAGCCACTGCATCCCCATACACTTTTGTTGTACATGTGCTGCAACTGGTGGCTCAAGCTGCATAAAATCATGGCTGATTCACAGACTATGGGCCTCAGTACCTGTGTGAATGAGGCCATTAAATCTCGCTGCCCAACAGCTGTATGCAGCCTTTTGCTATATGATGTGTGGCCCTCAGACCTCAGCTGTCTATAGGGGGAAGGCCCTATAGACAAAAAAAATAGGCCCGGGCATTATAGAATGAGCAGCCAATTTTTCTTAGGGGGGGGGGGGGGGGGGGGGGGGGTAAAGGCGTTCACCTGAGCATTTGATGACAGAATATTCAGTTGGTCTTCCGCACTGTAATGTAAAGGGCACTGTACTGATTACAGTGCCACTTTACAGTGCAGTTCCCTTTATATAAAAGTGCCCCTTTACATTACAGTACCCCTAGAAATCTCATCACAGTGCCCCCTATATATTCAGCAAAGAGATGGCCCAATACAGCAAAGGGACATCCCCATATAGCAAAGAGACATTCAAATCCAGCAAAGAGACATCCCCAAATAGCATAGAGACATCCCAATCCAGCAAAGAGACATCCCCATATAGCAAAGAGACAGCCCAATCCAGCAAAGAAATATCCTCATAAAGCAAAGATACAGCCCAATCCAGCAAAGATATATCCCCATATAGTGATGAGATGCCCAATCCAGCAAAAAGGGAATCCACATATACTGTAGCAAAGAGACAGCCCAATCCAGCAAGAGACATTCCATCCAGCAAAGAGACAGTCCAATCCAGCAAAGAGACATCCCCATAAAGCAAAGAAACAACCCAATCCAGCAAAGAGACAGCCCAATCCAGCAAAGAAACAGCCCAATCTAGCAAGGAGACATCCACATATAGCAAAGAGACAGCCCAATCCAGAAAAGCGACATCCCCATATAAGAAAGAGACATCTCAATCCAGCAAAGAGACATTCCCATCCAGCAAAAAGACAGCAAAGAGATATCCCCATCCAGCAAAGAGATATCCCAATCCAGAAAACAGACATTCCCCCATACAGCAAAGAGACATCCCAATTCAGCATAGAGACATCTCGTCCAGCATAGTCACATCCCAGTCCAGCATAGAGATATCCTGTCCAGCAAACAGACATCCCAACCAGTAAAGAGAGATCCTATCCAGCAATGAGACATTCCATCCAGCAAAGAGACAGCTCATCCAACAAAAAGACAGGCCAATCCACTGCCGGTACAGAGCGGAACTGTTTGGCTGTCACATTGTGCCGGCTGGTGAAGGAAAGAGGCCGCTATTGTCCCTTCAGTGCCGCTGTGTCTGCAGCTGCTGGAGGAGGTGTCTGTGTATCTCCTGCGGCACTTCCTGCTTGTTGCTGGAGCCATCTCTCTCTCCTCCTGTTGGCACTGCTTTAGGCATAGTCACATAGTGGGAGGTGAGCGGCGGCTGCGGTCTGTATTAGCCCTCTCCAGACTGTGGTAGCCGCTTATATCCGACAGTGCGGCCTGGTCATCAACAGGCCACTCTTCTTAGGCCTGGAGGCCCCAGCCCTCTGGGCAAATGCCCAATGTGCCCTGTGGCCAGTCTGGGCCTGGCGGGAACATTGATTAGCATAATAGCACTGATACCTACTAGCCTCATGTAACATGTTCCTGGTTTCATATTGCCTTCTGCAGCATGTCTCCAGGCCAAGAATGCAGCATGTTCACAATCTCTGACCCTCTATTAGGTCTGCAGTCTGACAGTCCATTCAAGCATTACATATATTTAACATTATGTCTGGCACTTTGGTGATGTCAGGGGCTGCAGATGATGCCCCCTATAGCTCATAGAATGACTACCACTGCCTTAAAAGGTTGAGAAAGGCTCTTAGATACTTTCTGAAATGCAATTTCATATCTCTCCAACTGTGGTGGTGATCATGTAAATGTTCTTTGTCTCTACACAGGTTGTCTTCAGTTGTTCTTACTGATATAATGCAGCTATATTGGAAGATTCTTCCAAAATAAACATATTTCTGTATTTCAGGGTCACATTTCAGTGGGCTGTTCACTTGAAATTTCAGTTTATTGCCTTGTCTCTGCAGGCAGGAGATAACTAGAAGTAGTTGTCAAGTTTTATTTTTTTCTTAACACAACTGCACAGCAGGCTAATCATCTTCTGGAGTGTCCCTCCTCCGCACTAGACTGGCACACAATGAGCACAATGTCATTTTTCCATACTGTGTTCCAATCACAATGAGACTCTCTAGGTTCACTTTGGGAATTAGAAAGCCTCTGCAGAGACAAATTAGACCACATTACAGAAATTGGTTTTCTTTATGTTAGATATTTTGTTCTGAATTTTGGAGCATTTTCTCTCTTATCAGAAAGTGCAGCATACTGTGGATACCGACATAAAAAGAAATCAATATAATGGCCAACCATAAAGGAAAACCTATATAGAGGCTGCTATTGCCAACCTCTTCTTCTAAAAATGGCAGTTACATGGCTGTATCTTTTATCTAATGACCATACTTTCCTGGGATAAGTATGCAGACTTCATTTCTAGTTTGTGTAGCATTACCCTCCTAAATCGCTGAATTTGTTTTGGGTCCCCCTAAGCTCTGCACAGCCAGGCAACACGCATTTTCCACACTGCATACTTGGAGTCAGTAAACAGTCCTTGAGCTTGGTTTTGTGACT